ATTAGGTCTTCAAAATGTGGAGAAAAATGTGAATTCTCCCAATATTGGATAAGCTCAGTTCTGTGTCCCATTCAGGTTTAAGTTGGGAAAATGTGAACTCTAGTTGTAAGTATTTCAGAGTTTGCATATAGCTACATTACTATGTTGACTTGCAAAGTGGAGAGTTATATGTGTACTGCTTTAAATTAAAAAAAAAAACTTTCGGGGATCTGGGTGCTTTTGATCACACAGGTGGAAGTGATCTGGAAGAAGCCCAGGAACATCCAGGGGCTTGCCTTTGAAGAGTTTCTGTCATTCCAAATGTCTGTGGTTTCTGTCTTACTGTCTGATCCTTCCACTGTGGCCCTTATTTCGGTTTCTTGGACACAGGAGAGAGAGATTAAGTTTTCATCCAGGCACAGAGTCATAAGGATGGAAGGTTTGTGAGGTTGATTCTAGAAAGACCTCTGTTCTGAGGCCCCTTCTCTGCATCACTGGGAAGGTCTGCTGCACCAGGGGCTTCTGTTTTGGTGGTCATACCCCCGACTGCCACACGGTGGCAGCAGACCCCGTGCTGGAGGCCCTGTCCCTCGCCTTCCTTTTGCTCAAGGGCACGGGTGAATTTTACCTGTGAAAGGAGAGTTGTTTCACAGACTTTAAATCTAGAACTCATGTTAAAATTCAGTAATACAGGTTATCGTTTTCAAAATAGTGTTGCTTTACTTAAATATCCTACATATTGAACACATTGCTTGCTGTGACTTGCATTTTTAGGCTGCGCCCCCCCCCCCCATACCCCCCCCCGCTCCTGGCTGTTAGTTCCCGTGTCCCCTGAGGAAGCCTGAAAAACAAAAGGGACCAGCAGAAAGAGAGGCCCTCCTTCTCTAGATGGTGGGTAGGCCACAGTTTTGAGATTTGGGGAAGACGAAGAATTTCAGGATTTTTTTCCCCCACATTAATGGGAAAATATAGAAGAAGCATATGTTTTTTGACTGTTCCTTGTAGAAGCCTAGACAAATGGAATGAAAACCGGGAGGTACAATATGGTGGAACGCTGTTGCCATTAATCTGAGGCCCAGCTCTGCCCATACAGGAGTCACCATTCTGGCCCAGACCAGCTTCTAGATCCTGGCCCATCTTGATTTCCTTCTAGTGGCTGCTTCTTTAGTAACTTCTGTCATTAGCCACTATTTTTGCTATTGCTTTGAGCTCACTGTCTAGTTTAAATCAATTTATTGATGCCATCACCCTGAACCAAACTAGTTTACCAGAGATGAACCAGAGAGAGGGTAATCAAGACCAGATGCACAAGTGTTGTTCTGTGGTAGCTCAGAGTGTAGTTTTACTACAGGGTTGGAATATTACTGTTTTAGAGAAGGAACTCTCTCTTAAAACTCAGCTCTTTCATATTATATTTATTAATGCGAGGGGAAATCTCTGGCCTTAAGTTAGTAAAACAGAGACTTTTTATTTTTTATGTATTTATTTTTATTTTTTAAAAAAGATTTATTTGTTTATTTTAGAGAGAGAGAGGAGAGGAGCATGAGCGGGAGGGGCAGAGGGAGAGTGAGAATCTCCAGCAGACTCCATGCTGAGTGTAGAGCCTGACGCGGGGCTCGAGCCAAGCCAGCCCCAAGATGACGACCCGAGCAGAAACCAAGAGTCAGAAGCCCAACCGACTGTGCCACCCAGGCGCCCCAAACAGAGACTTTTTAGATCCTTGTGTGGCCATAGTGCACAGCTAAAAAAGGGAATGAGCAGCAGGTAGTCTGGGAACAGCTGTAGGTAGAAGATGGACAGGCGTTCTTTAAGGATTGGTAGGAAGACTCCTGTCCACTCCGTGAGTTTTGTAACATCACCGCCTCTTTGGTTCTTGAGTGGGCTAGCTGGTGCACAGAGGTTACAGCCATATCAGGACCCCAAGAACAACATCTAAGTACAGGGGGAAATCTCTTCCGGTTGACCAGTGCTGACTGTCACATCGAATCATCTGCTGGCCAAAGAGGAAGCCACTGCAGGCTTTCTGTGGCGGACCTACCAGTCATAGAGCTAGGACAAGGCTGGGCTTTCTTAATATTGTCACACTTTGTTTAGAATATTCAACTTTCATGAAAGAGGTTGAATAAGAGAGAACTTAATAAGCTACCTTAATAAGCTTAAGTTTGGGTCTCTTTTTATAAAATAAAGAGGATTAGGTGCGAGTTGAGCTCGTGACACTCTCTCCCCATTCATGCTAATAGAGACAACTAGAAGTAATGTAGGAAAAGCAGAGGAATCGTGTTGGTATTTAATATGAGAATAAACAAAGTCGGGTCCTATATCAATACAGGGAAACAAAACGGTGAGGTGTGGTTATTAAGCGTCTACAATAGGGGAGACGCCATTTGGTGGTTTACATACCTAGTCCGATTGAATTCTCGCAACCTCTATGCAGGAGATATCTTCCCTGTTTTACGGGTGAGGATTTGAGCTCGGACAATGAATGCTTATAGTCACAGATAGTAATTGGGAGAGCAATGATTCACGCCTCGTTTGGTTTAATTCTAGAACTTATCCAGAAGATTTTGAAAAGAAACCAAACCCTAGAGTTTTACATGGGACTTTTAAACGGCTTCAATAAGAAAATAAAGTTATTTATTGTTATGATTATTTTACTATCAGACACATGCTAAGTAATATGCAGATATTAACGGAGGTGTGTTAACACTTCCTTTGTATCACGTTTCCTGGCAGGAAGCACCAGCAGGGGGAGGCTGGCTTTAACAGCTGTCCTGTACACCCTTACACAACAGCCAGTTCTTAGTTTTTGGTTGGCAATAGAGGGCGCTATTCACTTTCTAGATTTTTCTCACAGAAGCACACGTTTCCATCCCCTGCCTGCCTGGTTCGAGTCCTCACTTACATCACTGACAGCGAAGTCAGATTAATCTCTTGGTTTTAGTGAAGTTCTGGCATTTGCTGAGATTTAGATTTCCCTGAGTTTGTTTGAGCAAGGCACTTTCAGCCCTATTGTATTTAGCGATGGAACAACAGAATTACAGGGCGCGCAGTTTCTGGACACAGCAAAAAAGTCTGAATGGACATTGCCTTTGTAAATCTAACTGGTTCTTTTCTCTGTCAGCAGAAGATGTTATACCACTACTACAGACAGGAAGCAAAAGCACGGTTTGTGGCACAGTCATCCAAGTAACGGAAGGATAGGATTTTTAAGTTTGCAAACTCCATGGACTTCTTGATTTGCTTCTTAAATCCTGACCTTAACATATGATGTTTCCTGAATGGTTCTTTACAGGGACGCCTTTACTGAATGTATCATCAAATAGTCATGAATTATGTCTGAAAGATGTAGGGAAGTGTGTATGTGTGCACATGTGTGTGTATAGTGGAAGTATTTTAAACACTGTTCTGTTTATGTGTTTGTGAATACGGTAGTAAGGAGTAAGGAAAAAGAAAGATCCAAAAACCTGTCAGAGACTTTACAATGAAGTGTGAGGCTAGAAATCAGAAAGCCATTACGTTACTGTAGCATCTACATTCTTGAGGCAGTTTGGGCTGCAAGTTTCATAAGACCCAAAATCACAGTGACTTAGACAGGAAGTCCAAAGACATGATCAGTACAAGGTTGGTTAATTCAGACACTCAATGTTGTCATCAGGAAATGAATTTCTCTCAGCTCTGCTGTCCTTAGGCTGGTTCCTCATGGTGACAGTGTGGCTGCCAGAGCCCCGAATGTTTCTTATTCACATAGCATCTGAAGGCCAGGAATAAGAGTGTCTTACTTTGGTTACCTTTTAAGAAATAGAAAAACTCGTGCGCAAGCTCCCTGTTACCCTTAGCCATCTCCCCTTTGCTCCATGGTGGCCTCTTAGGATGCGTTCTCTCCTCCTAAAGCCAGGCACTGGCCTAGAGTAAATGGGGTTAAAGCGATGCACGTAAAATGACCAGGATTGACCCCTGGGACTAGGGAGGGACCTAGTCTCTCTTCTGAAGCCATAGTCTTGGATGAGTGAATAAAATTGGAGTTATGTTTTTTTTTTAAAGATTTATTTATTTGAGAGAGCGAGAATGAGAGAGAGAGAGAGTACATGAGAGGGGGGAGGGTCAGAGGGAGAAGCAGGCTCCTCGCTGAGCAGGGAGCCCGATGTGGGACTCGATCCCGGGACTCCGGGATCATGACCTGAGCCAAAGGCAGCCGCTTAACCAACTGAGCCACCCAGGCGCCCAAAATTGGAGTTATGTTAGCAGCAATTCTATTAGAAATGACTGTAGGGTAGGCAGTCAATATTGCCCCCTCAAGGTTGTCGGCACCCCGCTAGAAAAGCAGATGGAGAAGCGTGTCCTAGTTTTTGCTTTCTGAGCCAAAGGAAAGATGCCAGGCTTGAGATTTCTGGAAGAGTTTTATTAATTTACATCCTGTCAAACTATATGTGATTAAAGACAATAGAACTACTTAAATATTGACTACAACTAATTTAGTAATGTCCTCTTTTCCAATTACCTGAGGCGTTTCTTGGACCTCCTGTGCACTTTCTTTGCTTTGGGTGGGGGTGGGGGGCGAGGAGGGGATGCGGAGTGTGTTGGGGGTTGGGGGCGGTAGCGGAGATGGTAGATAGTCAGCGTTTCGTCCTGATTGCTGTCTTTGGAATTATCCAGACTGTTATTTATTGTTTTCATGAACTATGAAGCTAGAAACGATTGCTTTCACCTCCCCATCCATTAACTATGTAGAAAATTAAGGTTGTCATCTCTAGAACACCAACCATCTACTTACCTGCCCCTGCCCACGGCACCTCTGGACAACCTGAGTAATTTGAATGTGTGCAGGGTGATTGCCCACCTGCCTGCAGATAGTGTCGCATATGCAGACTGTCAGCCCCTAACGGCGCGTGTAAGGCAGTAATGGTTGCAAAGGCCTAGCCGCTCCCTGCACTGGGGCTCCCTAGTGTCCTGTGTTCGTGTGTAACGAACAGACGACGTCCATACGCCCGCGTAACCAGAGCTTGTCTCTTGCCCCTCCCCAGAGAGATGCAGATCAGTTCCTCCAGCACCACCACATCCGAGAGTCAGGATCCTTCTTCTGGAGACCCAGCGGTCAGCGCGCTTCAACAAGAGCTGCTACTCATGGTGGCCCGGAGGACCCCGACAGAAGCCCCACGGGTACGTTCCGGCCGCACTGTGAATGTTGCAGGAGCGGGGATCTTGAAACCGGTTTTGTGGTCAGATTGCCTGACAAAATTAGTCAGGTCTTACCCCGACGTTTACCCTGCTGCTGGGTTGTGGCTGTATCACTGCATGGTAGCCTACTGAATGAATGTGGGGGAAAAAAAGACATTTATATAACAGGTATCCTTCATTGACACTAACAGCATTGTCATTGTCTTACTGCTCTTCCAAGCACATTAGAAATTCATGTACGTCGATCTTTGGTTGCCAGGCTGCACAGATCCCACAAGGGCTTCCTTGGCTGGGATGCCTTTTGCTCACCACGGTTGGAAAACACCTGGATTCTTTTTTTATTAATTTATGACAGCCTTATATACTAAACATTCAGAGATTCTTGAAGAGAATCTTGACTTGAAGAGAGATTTTATTCTTAGAGCAAATGACATCGTCAAGGGGCTTAAAAGATGAAGGCTTCTGTGATTTTACCAAGAGGTAACTTACTAATGCTCATTCACTTATATGGTACACCTTTATGAGGATGACTTTGGGAGAGGCAGAGCAAAGAACTCAGAGCAAAGGATTACACGGGAGGTAAGAAGTAGCACTGGACATGAACTTGGAGCTACAGATTCAAGCAGGGCATTTCGGACAGAGAGGCTGGAGAAGGCTCCTTAGAAGAGGGGACGCCGGGCTAGACCTTGGAGAGAGATGGCCTCAGCTGGTGCAGGCAGAGGGGTGCTCGCAAGTTAGTGTGAGGTTTTCCTGTTGCTGTATTTATCTTCCTCCCGGCGATGTTGTGATTTCTTCTAGACAACCTCGCTTACAAAAAAAATACAGTGTTATACTTGTTTTTATGATTTCTTAACTAAGGTTTTCCACAAGGTGCCTGAGGACACTGTGGGTTGAAATTGGTCAGATGTGTGAAGAAACGGTCATGTTATCTTGTGACCGACCGCACGTTGCTCTGGGATCCCGCTGACCGGGTAGAGAGGACTGAGAAGGGCCAGTGGAGCGGAACCAGCCCTTCCAGTCATGAAGGAGTTTCTGTGGGAACCAGCATCCAGCGAATCCAAAAACTCAGTCTTTAGGGCATCTCTCCCCTTCCATGTATTCAGTCTCACCTCCCTGTCCTCCTTTCCAGGGCTTCTGGGTACAGGAAGGAGTTTTCCTAGGTGCAGGGGAGACACTTCTGGTCATGGCTCAGATGCCTGACCCCATCCTGGTCACCAGGTATGCTGGTGGCGCCTATAGGGGAATGGCTCTTCCTGCCCGGTTAGGGTGCACTCCTCGGGGTCTGCCGACCCTGCCATCAGCCCGCTGGCTCTGAGGACCCCACATTCTGTGGCCTCTTCGTCTCCACCCACTCTCTTTGGTTCACTGGTCCCTTCTGTACCTCCATGTGTTCCAGGGGGCCTGGACCTCAGCTGCACCCTCACACGCTGTGCCCTGTGCCCAGCCCTCCCTCAGCCGTCAGCACTAGCTCCCACCACAAGTTGAAGTACACGGGGGCGGGGGTGTGGGCAGAATGTGGGTTTTCTCTGAGACACTGACATTTTCCCTGACACAGGCCTGGGGAGGCTCCAGCTCCCTGCAATGCTTCCCTGCCTCCCAGAATGTCAGTGTTGGATCTCCAAGGAGAGCAAAGTTACATAAAAATACCCACATCGTTTGGGAAGATGTGAATGTCACTGATGCTATGAATGGTGGAGCCACAGGGGACCTGGGAACTTTGGATGATCAGAGATGCAAACCCACACACTTCATATCTCAAAAACAGCCCAGGTAGAGCAGAAACTTGGAAATAACTAAATATTGCATGGAAAAATCAGAAAGAGTCACGCTATTCTTTACATTTAAAATTCTCTAAGTGGCGTGATTATGTATGTGAGCGTATAAAAAACTGAATTCATATTTAGCGTTTCATTGGCAATTACTTAACCAGATTATTGACAAACTCCAGTCTTTTTAACTTTATTTAAATTTTTAAGGAAAATTTAAAAACTTTAAACTTTCACTCTATGTAGGTGTGGAAATAGAAGGATGAGTACTGCTATCCAGGCTCGTATTTAGACGCTGAGGAGATATTTACAAAGGTCTCACACCAGAAACAATTCTTTACTTCTCCTGCTTGGCTTTCCAAATTCAGCTGGTATCACCAATTAGGTTTTGGCCACAAAAGAAGAATGAAGTTAGTTTCCTGCTCATTCTCCCAGTCTATTTAGTGAAGGCTTATGTACTGGTAGCTCTGTGCCAGGGAAAGGAGCACAGCGGCAAAAGGACTCAGCCCCTGCCTCCAAGCACTGGTCAGCCGATTCAGCTCGGTATGATGGAGGTTATGGTCGGGTGCCATCGGACACAGGAAGCCCCAGGTCGGGATGCAGGAGATCGGGGAGGCTTCCTCGGTGAGGTGACAACTCAGCTAAAATGTGGAAGATGAGCTGACTTGAGGCAGAAAAACCGCCTGGACAAAGGCTGGGTGGTGAGACAGAAAGCAGGTGTCCTGCTCACGGTCCTGGCATGTGGAGGCATCTCGGCAATGACACGAGGAGTTGTCCTGAAGACAAGTTCAGCAAAAACAAGCAGGAAATTGAGCTCTGAAGACAAGACTCTTTAGTGACTTCCTTTCCTCCCTCCACCTTCCCTCTGTCCTTCACGGCTGCTTGAGTGCAGCTTGTGGAGTGGGAGTCCCCCCCCCCACCATAACCTTATGCAAACTCCTCTCAGTGCAACAGAGGACCATATCCTACAGGCTCTGGTGGTGACCAGGAGGCTGGCCCACACCAGAGAAAAGACTTTGAAATTCTTCCCTGGCACATATAAAAATGAATGAAGTAGCCTTGCAGGGGGAGTTCCCAGTAGGACTGGTCAGCTTCTTTTTATAGGAGGCAGATGAGTGGGAGAGGTTCTGTTTCATCACCATGGCCCCAGAGCTTAGCACCCGAGCACCGAAAGAAGGACAAAGCTTGGGGCGCACGTGGGGTTGGTGGAATCTGTCCTCTGAACTCCAGATTAGCATGGAGGGGCTTTTGAGTATTATCAGTCACAGTGTCCCATGCATCCGTGTCATAAACTGGTACTTCTCTGTGCCTCAGTTTCTCCATGATGTATTTCTAAGCTCGTTGGGTATAGTCTGTCCATTCATAATCATGACTTTAAAATTTTACATTGTACCATTATGTAGTATTTGAGTAATCACCTTAAAACATCTTTATTACACTACTGGTTGAGAGGCAGGCCCAGGCCACTGAAAGACAGTGTCGGATCCTTGGGAGTACAACAATTTCTGCTTCCGTTTACCCTCACCTTGAGCTGGCTTCAAACCCCTTCACCCTGCCCACATTAAGAAATGGGATAGTATTGTTTGTGAAAGTACTCTGTAAACTGAGGCTTTCTGTGAATCTATAGGAGTGGTATTATTGTTATCAGGGGTAGCATGAAAGCCGGTGGTTCATCGGTCCTAAAACGATCAGTGAGCATTGCAAAGATGCGCACAGCACTGGGTCTGGCTGATGGTTGCTCTAGGTTAATGTAAAGGTAGCATTTCCATCATAATTTACTATCATTAAAGGATTCATGAAAACGGAGACTTTCACCTTTTACCCTGTATACCATTTGTGTTTTTTCTCCCGTGATGATGTGTTCATGAATTGCTATTTTTAAATTTAAAACATTTTTAAAAGGTAAAAGCATATTCCTGGATCTCTAATTTGCATGAAGTCATATATATAGTGTTTTTTTTAAAAGATTTTATTTATTTATTTACTTGAGAGACATAGTGGGAGAGAGCATGGAGTGGGAGGCGGAGAGAGAGAGAAGCAGGCTCGCCACTGAACAGGGAACCTGATGCAGGGCTCCATCCCAGGACCCTGAGATCATGACCTGGGCCAAGGACAGATGCTTAACCGACTGAGCCACCCAGGTGCCCCCATATATATAATGTTTTATAAACAATGCTGTCTACAAGAATATTGACATTTACTAGCAGTTGAAACAGATGAGATATCAATTATAATACCTTAACAGAGTCACTGATCATTTTACATATTCATTTACTGGAAAGTATATTTTGACTTAAAAAATGAATGTATGCATACTTTTCATTTATCATGTTTGGAAGTTTATTTTTTTTTTTAAACATGAGATTTGTTATGATTCCTGAAATTTCGCAAACTCCTTTTTTTTTCTTTCTGCAAAATTTTGCAAAACTGGAGTTTTGGCTGCTAAATAGAGCCACTGTTATAATAGTATCCCATGTGTGCTTTGTTTTTTATCCTTCAAAGTGTTGTTGATATCCAGATTTAACCAGCATTCCATTAGCAGATTAGGAACACTAGTTATGTGCAGGGCATGTGTTTGGTGTCTCATTACATCTCATACTTGGCATCACATTATCTTTATAGGAAATCTTGGAGGTGAGGTATTATTTTCCCTTGGATTTACCATCTAAGGAAACCAGAGCAGAAGGCACTGGTGTTTGGGGCATTGGCTGGACTCTTCCCAGCCCAGCGTTCCTTTTACTTTGTCCTTTGGTCACTACTGGGATTCAGTTCTGCTCACCTCCTTCTCAGATGCTTCTGCCATGATGTCTCATGAGCCCACTTCTGACACCAAATAGTCCCTTTCAACTCCACCTCCCCTGCACTGGATTTGACAGCTCTTGGGAAGGACATGTAGTGCCACACAGGACGGCTATCTGTACTGTGTCCTCTTCACTCCTCTACCTCTCCCTTCAGGAGTTTTCAAGACACTTCTGCCCTTCACAGGAGGCCTACAACTTAAATCCACCCGTGTCTGTTCTGACTTTGAGGGTTCTGTAGACCTGGTCGCTTGCTCTTCTCCGCGTAACAGGCCCTCCTTTATATTTTAGCTTTTATTAGGTACAGTTCATGCTTCAAGTCTTAAGTCTGACTTTAAAATTCTTTGAAATAACATATTATTGGATCTCCATTATTGCCCGTCCTAATTATTTTTGTCAGTGTCCGTTTTCTGATGTT